TTTTCCATGCCATTAAGTTTCATGTTTTATATTGATGGACTTTGACTTACTTGAACTTACAACCCATCTTTGATTTCTGTGCACTTGGTTGGGATATATAAAACTAAACCTTATCGAAATTCAGCAGGTCTGTGGGTTGTGTGTGTTTACACAACTAGTTGGTCATAAACAGGTCACTGAAAAATGAAAATGTACTGATCCAAATCATGTATGACAAAAAATATATATATATTTTAAAAGGTGTTTTTTATGTTTTTTAAGTGATTTTTTTTTTCAAATGCTATAAACTATACAGAAAACCCACTTACTTGATACATAATTACTAGAGGTAAAAATTAACAGCAGAGCCCAAACTATTAAAGTGCCCCTATTATGGGTTATGAAAGGTTAATATTTTGGTTTTGGGAGTCCCCAACAACATGTTCACATGCATGCAAGTTCAAAAAACACTTTCATTGTCTTATAATATGCATTTATTTTTACATTATTTGCTCAAGGACTCCTAAACGATTCGCTCAAAGATTCATTTTTCCAAACCCATCCTTTGCGTGACGCTAATCTGCGGTGATTGGTCCGATTGGTCGATTTCATTTCCATTTCATCATGCCTGTAATGCCTGATAAAGCACAGTGCTGCTTTGTGTACAGCCGTTACCGGGCAAATAGCTATTTTTACCGTTCCAAAAGTGGCACCTAGTGGCAAAGAATGAATTTGCATTTTCATTCAGACCAACAAAAAGACCAACAAGTGGGCAGGCAATATGCTAATGTTTCATGTTGATGTCAACATGATACGCTTGGGATTCGTTTTAAAAAACACACTGAATAATGAGTCTCTCATTTACATTGTATTTACACTGTTGGTAATAATGAGAGCATCCTCCAGTGTACAGAAACCCCTCTGATTGACCATTGTGTTCATGCACTTAACAGACATGCCTGTGATTGGCTACAGCAATCAGCGTAAATCGAAACCATTGACGATTCTCGGAGCACAAAGAAATATGCACAGGAGCGTCTGAAAGCAGCCTCATATCAGCGGATACTATGTTGAGCGCTGCAGTGATGACATATTTTTGTTGGCCAACCTGGAAGTTCGCAAAAAATCACAATGGGGTTTTACTGAAGAATTTTGTCATAGAATAAAAAATTAAAATATTTTGAGCTTAAGCACTTTATTTCAGACATTTAACCAAAAACCCGTTCAAAAAAAAAAAAGATTTTGAGACAATGTATCTGATAGTCCTAAAGTACAAAATTTGCTTTGGGTTTTGGCCTACAAATTCAATTTGGGTTTTGGCCTACAAAAATACAGTGTTGGCCAAAATACAGTGTTGGCCAGAAATAACTGACTTAAAACCATTTTTTAGCTGGTGAAAATTAGAGCCCGACCAATATATCGTTTCGCCGATTTTATCGGCCGATATGAGCCTGTCGCAGATATATCGGTATCGGCGAATATGCCGCCGATATGCCAACGATATGAATTTTTTTTTTACAGAACATAAAACGCAGATAAAATGCTTGTAAATGGTGTAATTGCGTAGTTTGTCCAGCAGAGCGCGCTCCATTGTTTGCTACTGGCGACCTGGATGAAACGCTTTAAAGCTTAAGTGTATGGAATACCATTAAAACTTTGAACGGCCATATCTCCGTAAAGGTGCGGCGGATCTGCACCAAATTCGGGGAATCCCTTCAGCTCGAGGAACCGAATCAAGTGTACGTCTCGAGGCCCCCTTTCGAATGAGACCACCACCACCATTGATAGCCCCCGGGGTCCGGGAGTTACGGGCGGTTAAATTTGCAGTCGGATGCTGACCGATCTGGCGATCCCGGGGGGCTACAGACTCACGGAGGGTGGCGTTCCAGAGGGCTCCTCGAGCTGAAGGTATCCCCCGAATTTGGTGGAGATCCGCTGCTGCGTTCACGAAATAGTGACACCAGCTAACACTTTCACTTCAGTAAGGAGGTCTCTTGTTCAGGCAGCAGCATTCAAGCGTTGTCTTATTCGACTGTAAGTGTCTTGCAAAGTGGACTTCACATGATATTCCGGCATGATTCCAGTTCGAAGGGAACGTACACGTTACATTCAAAGGCCATTAAAGTGCGCGAGATGTGAATTTAAATTGTATTTATTTACAGAGGTATAGCATGTCACACTTCACAATTCTCTAGTAAGTTTCGTCTGTTTGTGAAGACAGTAGCACAAATCTGTGAATGAATGTTCCGAAGTGAAATAAAGTTGAATGGAATTGAATTGAAATAAAGTTGAAGTTTGATCACCACATTTGAGTGATCATTGGAAAAAATGTGTTTATGTATATATATTCTGTTTATGTTTATACTGTATTCTATATATAGTACCAGTCAAAAGTTTAGACACACGAATGGGAAAGTGTCCAAACTTTTGACTGGTACTGTACTATAATATACACAAAGAATATCGGCAGATATATCGATATCGGTCTTTTTTTACTCCCTAATATCAGTATCGTTATCGGCCCCCAAAAAACCCATATCGGTCGAGCTCTAGTGAAAATACTAGTTTTCTAATCATTTTGGCCACCACTGTACATCATCTCCAACAGCACTTCATTGAGTCTGTTCTTGGTGCTACTGGAACTGCAGACAGGATGGTGGTGTCACATTTTGGTGTACTTCTCAGGTGTTGCAGTGTCCGGGTGTTTCTTCTTCAGAAGTTGCGTGGCATGTGGGAGCTGTAAATTCCTGGGGGTTCAGGCCCATCACTCCACGGCTGGTGTATTCTCAGTCATGCTCACCATGTGGTAAGCACGGCGAGTGTGGATAACGGCGATGCAGAAAAGCCTGCGATAATGCTTCATTCTTATGCTTGGAGAGCTGCGGCAGATTAGCACAGACTCTGGCAACTGGCAGCGGCTCGCAAACTCCACGCCACCCTTCTCAAATCCGCCGTCCCAGACACTGCTGCAGCCCGGCAGGGGAGCGCTTTCCGTTACCGCTGCAAGAAGCATTACCGAAACCTCAGCCTTCTTCTGCGATCCCCGAGCGTGCAGGCTTAAACAGATCCCGCCACTGGATATCAGCTCCAGTTATTTGTCAGTTTCCTCACGACAATGACAGGCTGTAATCCAGAGCTGTCCTTCCACACGCTGAAGATCAATACGGAGGTGCTTGAATGCTCTCATACTCATGTGTCATCACGTTCCACATCAACACAGGAAGTAAATGAGAATGACACGATGAGTGACGGCTGTCGCGTAGCACGTGAGATTATGGTGACATTATGGTGTCCTCTTCTTGTAGAGTGTCACGGATGCCACTCTTTGAGTTGTGGACGTGTGTTTGCGGTGACAGACTTGATCCCATGTTGCTGTTCTTTGGTTGAGTGTCTTATAATGGCATTACTCATAATGCACTGCCACTGATGACATTACCGTTGTCCATTAGAGTGAATCTTAACCCACTTGTCTCTGTATGTATCACTCACCAGGGACACATCTAACTGTCTGTGAATAGAGGCTAATGATATGGTGTCAAAAGGGTCTTGTGGTAGTAAGGTCACAGTTGGCTCAACAGCTGGAGCGTGTTGATCTTTCTCTGCTGACCGTTTCAAATAAATAGCATGTAGGTGGAACCTTTGTCTTCCCAGACTCCCCAAAAATGTGGGTGTTGCAGTATTGTCAAAAAACAGTATTTTCTCTGTTTTTGTTGGTAATAATAATTAGAAGCTATTTTGCAGAGTGTGTTTTTGTGCTGGTATCTTGGCTGGTTTATGGCCTGTCGTGAACAGCTGATTTTCACATTCTTTATATTCGGTGCGTTTGTCAGTTTACAGCAGTGGCATAAATTAACTTTTTCTTTAAGCTGTGAAATTTGCTACCTTAAATTGATTTCCAAGGACATTTTTCCTTTATAAGGACTTTTTATTTTCGAACCGTATTAAATTTATGCATCATCTTTTAAACCAAATGTTTGCATTAAATCAATAACATCTATATATGAGATACTGTAGGCTGTTCCCAATCAAATGAAATAAGTATCAACAAAATCCGTTGCACTGCAGAAGTGCTACAGATGCTGCACATACTGTAAACCAGCATTTAGATGCATTTACACTACAACTGCATAAATAATACTATGAGATTAATGTTTTAAAGATAATACATTAACAATACGTTCAATATTAAATTAAAACCAGCAGTAGGTGGTGGCAGGTCTTAATCATTGAGTCACTGAGTAATCCATTCACCCAGTTTGTTCAAAAACTCATTCATTCATTAATTCAGAGACAAAACACTGCTGTGTGTTGTTCTGAGAAGCACAACAGTTCTGCTGTGCCTTTGTTCAGAACTATTTGCAATGACAAAAACCAAGCAAAAATTAAGTCTAAAATGTAACTCGCAATATTAACTTTCTGTTTATTGAACTGTTGTAAAAAAATCTGTATCACATTTGCATACATATTTAGGAAAATGGCACACTTGCTCAAGTGATGTTACTTAACTATATCTTAAGATATAAGTATAAGACAAAAGCCCATATAGGCCTAGGCTTTTTGGCCCCATATATTGAATTTTGTCATTCTAACTGCATTCTATTAGGCCACATAAAGAAGTGAAAGTGTTCAATCTCAAGATTTGTCTTTGTTTGTTTTTTGCAAAGTGAGCGACGTACTTGATAATGTCAGCTTCCACATTGTTTAAACAACAATTGCGATAGTGTAGACGATACATATCACACACCCCTAGTGGGTGGCATAACCTGAATGATGAATAAAAGGTTTACTTTGCTTCTCTGTGATCAGTGTTTGTGTTGTGGCCTGGTGAAAAATAAAAGCATAGACTTACATTGAAGGAGAAACCTGAGACAGAAACTTGGCATGGGCTTTTTTTTTTTTTGTACCACTTTACTATCATTGGTGTAAACTATATATGAAGTGAAAAATGACTGACATTGAGCTCTTGAATGTTATGCTATTAGTTGAATGTGATCACGGCGTGTCCTTATTTTTCCTTTCAGAAAATTCTGCAACTTCTACCTGAGAAAATCAACAGTCGATGGCAGTTTCACAGTATAGGTAAGTGCTGTTCAGACCTCATTTTACACTCACATGGTTCATGCCACACAGTTTAGCTGTTGAAATTGAAATATTGCTTACAGTATCAGTATTTCTTTGTGCATGATTATTTATGAGTCAGTCTGTATGCGTTTTGCTGTTAAAGCAGGTTCAGGAGAGAGTCAGTGTAACCTGGTTTAATAATTTCTCAGAGAAAATAATTAGCTACAGAGAGAGTTGAGAGCAGGAGGTTAATAAATGAGAAATGCAAATGAAAGGCTTCATTTGAAATGCAAATTGCTAAATGAAATTATGCGTCTCGTGGTTTCAGTCTTCCGTACAGGAAGACCCTCAAAGGAGGCAATAACCTCAATTAGAGCCCTGCGCATAGAGATGGGCAGACAGACAGACAGACAGATGCCTAGGGGAAATTCAAGCAAAAATGGATGCAACAGTATCTAAGCTTATTGTTATTGTTTTCAGCTATATGTCTTTGCTGGGCAAAATTGTTTCCTTACACTCGCAATCCTCTCTCTGTCAGCTAAAGTATCAAAACATAGCTTGGCTTTTTAATAGATTCAGTCCACTTCCAAGCCGTGTTGAAGTAGTTCCTCAGTTGATTATAAGGTGAGTCTGATCCTCCAGTGTACTGTAGATACTGTGTGACTAAGTGAGTGTTGCTTACGATTGCCAAGCAATGCCACAACTGGCATATCAATATAAAATTCAACAGTTGGATCTTTTTTTTTTTTTTTTTTTTGATCCTTTTTGCATTTCCTAGTTGAAGTAAACTACAATAGACAAAATGCTGTCCAAGGGTTTTTGACCACTTTTTCAGCAGCATTGATTCTGGAACTGTTATTCCCATTCGGATTTTTAAAAAGTCACAGTTAAAGAGTTATAAGCAGTGAACCAAACCAACTGGCTACGAGGTGAATAACAACATAACAAACTTTCATTTGAAGCAAGTATTTTAAGGCCCCGTCCACACAGAGACGCGTTTAGCTGTATACGCATACATTTTGTATCGTATAGGCGTTTCGTCCAGACGGATCCGGCGTTTTGGGAGAGTGATAAAAATTATTGGGTTTTTTTTTTTTTTTTTTTTTTTGGATCCTTTTTGCATTTCCTAGTTGAAGTAAACTACAATAGACAAAATGCTGTCCAAGGGTTTTTGACCACTTTTTCAGCAGCATTGATTCTGGAACTGTTATTCCCATTCGGATTTTTAAAAAGTCACAGTTAAAGAGTTATAAGCAGTGAACCAAACCAACTGGCTACGAGGTGAATAACAACATAACAAACTTTCATTTGAAGCAAGTATTTTAAGGCCCCGTCCACACAGAGACGCGTTTAGCTGTATACGCATACATTTTGTATCGTATAGGCGTTTCGTCCAGACGGATCCGGCGTTTTGGGAGAGTGAAACCGATATTTTTTTAAACCGGGTCCCAGAGTGAATAAATCTGAAAACGCCACCCTTGCGTTTTCGTGTGGACAGAGAATCCGTATATTTTCTGAAACGAAAATATCGTTATAATAATCAGCCCACGTCTCGCCCCTAGTCAGACACCGCTACGTCACGTAACAGTAACAAAAACATGAACAAACACTGAACAATTGTCTTTTTATTAACTAACATTAACCCAGATTAATAAATGTATTGTTCCATGTTCGTTTGTATACCGCGCGCAAGGTTTATGCGCATAGTCCAAGTCTTCTTCTCCGTTTTTAGTGTATCTACGTGGCAGAATTACAGCGCCACATTCTGGTCTGGCATGTATACTACATCGTTTTGTGTCGGTTTCGTGTGGACGCAGATATTTCTTGAGACGAGGAGAAAAAAAAGATTGGATAGGGAAAGCTCTGGCTTCGTGTGAAGGTAGCCTTAGATAACTTTACAGTACACTTTCCAGATATAAATGATATTGTCAAGAAGCAATTCATTTCATCTAGATCATTTGGTAAAATTCCAAAGCATCTGAACTTAAAACTGCCTCATCTCTGTTTAATATCTAAATATGCTTTAATTTTTCATAATTCTTTTACTTCATTTTTCTTATTCTCTTCTTCTTCTACAGATCTGCAGGACATTCCTGAAGAGAGCGAATGCGCTACAGACCCCCGGGACCGCGAGGTCTCGCACTGCTAATATTTCTCAACCCAAGACTTGCCTGTTGTCCGATGGAACAGACTATAGACTCCAGTTTTGTGTCGGTTTCGTGGTTTCGTGTGGACGCAGATATTTCTTGAGACGAGGGGAAAAAAAAGATCAGATAGGGAAAGCTCTGGCTTCGTGTGGACGTAGCCTAAAAATCAAACAAAAAAAGCAAAGGTACAAGATTTAGTGTGGGGAAGAAACTACAGTATAATCACGTGGTGTGTTGCAAACAACAATACAATTTAAAATGAAGCATAAATACAAAATCTATTGATGTTAAGTATGTCTAAAGAGACAATCATTTATTGCAAAATATGCATTTTATATAAATTTTAGTTTGAGAATTTTTGAAGACTGACTGTATTATGTCTTTTGTGATTATTAAAAAAAAGCCAAATGCAAAAAAAAGCAACCTTGCAGCTCACAGTAGGTCTGTCTTTAAAGTTTTATAGGTTATTATTAAAAATAAATTTTTGAATGGATTTTTACATATGGAAACAGACTCTTGCACTCTATACAGGTACATGGGACACCATAGCAGGGCTCTACAGTGCGACCATTTCAGTCGCATTTGAAAATGTGAAAATCTTTTTAGGAGCACCAGTGCGACTGACCCGATCATCTTCATATTTGTGATTGCGCTCAGGGGAGCTTCAAAGGTTTCTACGTGTTTTTGCAGCGTTGAGTAATGTATCACAGACATATCTCACGAATCCTTTCATAAGCAAAGTGTAGACCGGGTGTAAATAAGAGATTCATTGCGCAGTGTAGAGAGCTTCGTTGATTATAAATGTGAGATCGATGAACTAAGTGACAGCTTTTAATGATTTTTAAAGGAGTTTGTAAACGTGATACTGATTTAATACAATACAATTCAATAAACAAGAAGTTAATATTAAGTGACTGAAGCCCCGTTCGCACTACAAGCGACACGCAACAGCAAAGCGACACAATCCCATTAATTTCAATGGAGAGCTGGCGATTTCCGGCGACACGAGCGACAGCGGCCGT